CGGCGCACGTGATTGACTGCCTTTCGGCTTCCGGCTCTCTGTCCAGCCTGTCACGGGGAGAAATGCCACCTCCTAGATTCTAGTCAGCTCCAGAAAACCTCGCGCCCCCACCCCCACCCTCCTTTCCCAATAAACAGAAAACGAGCCTTGTGGAGGGGCTCCACATCTGCGTAGCCCACATTTTCCCCTGATCTCTCAATTCTTCTGTGAGAACGCCCAGCCAAACGCTGCGGGGACATGAAAACGACACGACAAACCAACCCACAAAAAACAAGACCGTCCCCTACTAGCAAGCCCCTGGTAATCTGGGGGTTTACTGCCCGGTTTAATCTTTAGTTTCAGGTCGCCCGTTTTCGGGCGGCAGAGGTGGCAGGAAAACATCCCTGCACCTGCTGCAAAGTGTCAGCTACGGCTGGAGATAGACGCAGACAAACCCATCTAGAGTTGAAGCCAGCACATGTACGTAGAAGGTATCACCCAAGTTTAGTGTGCCCTGATAAATTAAACAGCATCGCATATAGACACAGAAGACGCCAAAGTTGGAGGACTCCCAAGAGGTCATCCGGCAAAGCCCTCCATCCTACTCGTCACCCGTGGCCGAGAGACCAAAGTTCGGGCAGCTCCAGTGACAAGCGGCTCGCTGGCTTTCAGAGGCAGTTGGCGTCCGTGACCGGCTTCTTTTCAACAAAGGTCTTTTCTAAAACAAGGGGAAATCCATCCTCCCAGGACCTGCTGGCCACTGGGGGCTACTGCCTTCCTCAGAACAAGGCATCTCCTTGGGCACCCAGGCCCCACCCCCAACCCTAGAGGGACTGAAACTTCTAGCACTACAGTTCCTGAGCCAGAACCCTACTCCCCCTCCGACCGCTCCCTCTGATGGATTGTGTCCCTGAGCTCCGGTTCCCTGGGGGGTGGGGGGGTGGGGTCGATCGGTTGGGGCGGCCCCACCTCTATCGCCCCTCCCCCTCCCTGCCCACCCAGCGAGCACAAAGCTCCTGGGAGTCGGGGCCTCTGTGGGCCCACTGCAGTGCCATGACTCCGCTTGCCAAAAGCCACTTGATGCAGCAGGTAAGCAGGAGTTAGAGAGGTGCATTGGGTTTCTGAGAGGCACCAGTCTAGCTAAGGCAGAAATAGGCTCTAACTTAATAAGCTGCTCATCACACACAGTAAGAGACACCCTGACTTATTCAAAGACACCGTGGGCGGTGCAGAGGATGAATAAGCATGATTCACTGCCACTCTGGCACCCGGGGCCCGAAGAATAATAAAACCCAAAGAATTGTAGCCGCCTGAGTAGTAAATTAAGAGATCCGGGGCTCAGCTAGACTCTAGACATCAATGTTACCATGGTGATAAAGGGCCCGGCGTTCAGCAGCTATTAGAGAGCAGGCATCTAATAGGCTAGTCTATGTCACAGCCAAAGCCCAAGGGGCTAGCAAAGAAGACCAATTAGCATATCCATTCATTAGGGGCCTCTGCACACTTCTTCTCTTAATTCCAATTAGTTGTTTGTTTGAACCGACGTCTCTTGTCTGCATTATGCTCATTAGTGCCTTTTAGCCACTGGAAATAGGCTTGAATCTCCACAAGGACCTCACAATTTCCCAAGCCTTCATTTTTTCCCCCTAGGGGTCTAGGCTTATACAGTCACCAACCCATAGCCCTCAGTCCCTCGAAATGAAAGCATCTCTCACTGTACAACTGTACTCGACAGATGGAAACTCTGCTCAGGAATGTGATGCGCTAAGGGTTCTTCCTGGAACCCAGCGAAGTAGGGATCTGGGGCCATTATCTGGACCATTCAGGTCAAGGAAACCCTCTGGCCTTAGCCAGTGAGCCTGCTGGCTACGCCCACTGGCCACTACTCAGAGGCTAGCTGTGCGGGCGGGGGAGCTTCGGGCACCGGGGACCATACTGGCATCAGCAAAGTCGGGCAGTAGCTGTTCCAGCTTGAAGGACCGCCCTTCAAGGTCCAACCCAAACCCCACCTATTCCGGGAAGCCTTCCCTGATCTCTGCAGCCCCAAATAAGTTCCCCCTCCTGCATGCACTTTGAAGATGACACCTGATGCCGGGCAGTATTCGCGGACAGCCTCAGGCCCTCGGCTGGCCTGGAGCTTCGGCACCCATGACTTCAGAGTCCACAGGTCACTAATGCTGGAAGGGTCTGGGGTTCTAGAGAGTGCCCAGCACTGCCCTCGCTGACTGCAATGGCAAAGAACTCTTAAGCCCCACTGCACGTGACCTCCCAGAAACTCCCTGAAGATTTAAGGAAAGCACACCACTATACAACTGCTCTTTGGTGGCTCTGGGACACACTCCACCCTCCCCCCAGCCAACACACACGCACGCAATTGTGGAAGTGACCCACAAGAACAGATGACAGAAACTAGCCCATCTCACGGTGGAGGCGAAGATTCTCTGAAGAGTGCTACCAACTCTTTCTTCCTCTGGGAACAGGAAGACCCAGTCCATAGCTTTCTGTTCCCCATCAGCAACCCAGCAACCATGTGGTTTGACCAGAGCAGGCCCCCAGGAGAGGAGGCTTCTAGAAGCAGCTGCGAACACCTGCGTCCAAGGACTGGGCATATACAGTTTGAGAGACTGGAGTCATTTGCCGTTGGATCTGCTGTCAAAGCCTCTCCTTGCCTCTCTTGCCTCCGTAGCCACCGTTCATTTGCAGCTCTGCTGGCCACTTCCCGCTCCAGCCTGCTGCACTGGGCGGCAGACTGCTCCCCCAGCCCTCGTGGCAGGAATGGTTTCTCCTGTAGCTAGTCTTTTGAGTGTGAACTCATGCGGACTTCTGTCTTTGAGGTCCCATGGGATTTTGTTCTTTTTACCCCACCCAAGAGCTGGCATTCCAGAAGGCAGCCTGAGCTATAGTCAAAATACATTGCAAATATATTAAGTGTATGGCAAACCCCAAGTGACCCAGAAGGCTCGGGCGTGGGAGATTCTGGAGAATGGAATATTTTGTTACCTGAGGTCACGTTGCTCCAAATCTCCTTCTGTCTTCCCCCTCTTGGGTTTTTTCCCCAGCTTTATTGAGATGTATTGACATATAATATTGTATACGTTTAGGTGTACAAGGTGGTCTGACTCCCTTATATATTGCAAAATGATGGTCACCATAGTGTTAGCTGACAAAACCTTCATCACGTCACTTAAGTGCCATTTCTTTTTTATGGTGAGGACACTTAAAATCAACTCTCTTAGCAACTTTCAAGTAATAATACAGTGTTATTAACGATAGTCACCATGCTGTACGTTAGATCCCCAGAACTTGTTCACCTTATAAGTGGAAGTTTGTACCCTTTGACCAACATCTCCCCAATTCCCCCACCCCAGCCCCTGCTAACCACCATTCTACTCTGTTTCTATGAGTGTGGCTTTTTTAGAGTCCACATATAAGTGGGAGCATACACTATTTGCCTTTTGTTGTCTGACTTATTTCACTTGGCATAATGCCCTCAAGGTCCATCCATGTTGTTGCTAATGGCAGGATTTCCTTCTTTCTCATGGCTAAACGATAGTCCTCTGTGTGTGTGTGTGTGTGTGTGTGTATCACGCTTTCTTTATCCATTCATCCACTGACAGACACTTAGGTTGCTTCCAGACCTTGCCTATTGTGAATAATGCTGCCCCCCAACTCTTGATTTTTGAAATCTTGCTTACATGACTGTGCTCTTTTCTGCGTTAGGAAGACAAGACTAGTTAACCTATCCTCTGGTTTCTGAGGCTTACAAAAGGGCTTTGAGATTCTCATATTTAACATTAGGAGTCACACAAAAGGCTTGACTGGAGAAAGTGTGAGAGAGCCCAGTATCTACTGAGATCAGGTTAACCCCTGGAATGTATTTTGCTTTTATTAAAGTCCAAAAAGAGGACTGAGTTTCTCTTTTTTTGTCAGTGGCCTCTTTCTCATCAAATAAGGGTATGGAGCAGGGAGGGACTCTGTTAAGGAAGAGTCCTAATTAGTAGCGTTCTAGTAAATGGAGTCTTTATTTTAAATTAACCACTATTGAAGCTGTCTTCATCAGAATAGCCTAGGCTTGGAATTATGAATAAGTCAATCTATCTAAGCTATTGTGCTGGTTTTCTTGGTTATGTATATGCCCAGAATCTCATTATCTGCAACATTCTCAGCCACCTGGGTATAACGGGGTGATTTGTGAAAGAAGGATCACAAATTCCACCCAAGCCTTTTAGCCACCCAGGCTCTGGTGGGGTGGACCGAACAGACCAAAAATGCTATACAATGTCTTGGCTCTTTCTACTAATTTTTCTTTTGTTGGATCCCACATTGGCTTTAGGAGTTATATATGTCTGGGAAACTGACACTGCAAAGTTCTGGCCTGTTCCCTGCCCTGATGCTAAGGGATAAATATAGATCTCAACCACTACAGAAATGTGGCCAGGATTCCAAGGGGTGTGTGCGTGAGGGGCAGTGACTGATGGCGCCATTCTGACATGTGGGCTAGAAAAAGGCTTCTTTATGTCCAAGACCCTCTTTGGGGAGGGGAGGGGTAAAGCAGGAGCCTGGCCTCTAAAATCGGAATGCATAATCCACATTTCAAGGGGCTCATGGGTTGACACAAATAAGGAATATTGTAGGTGGCTTGATGTGTGTGTTGGGGGGGGCGGGTGGGGAGAGCAAAGGGAATCTTTCCTGACACCCTAGATCCTTTTGCATGAGATCAGTCTTATGAAAAAAGAAAGTTATTCTTGGCCATGTCCCCTCACCCCCAACTCCCACCCACGCCCCACCTCCTGCACACACTGATACTCAGCTCTCAATTGAGAAGAACATGACTGAAGATTTCCATTGGGCCCATAGTACCTCGGGCGCTAGAGAAGGGCAGAGGGCGGGTAGAGACGTGAGGTGAGGGGGGTGGTGAGTCGCTCATCCTCGTGACCCAGAATATCTCCCCCCTCCCTGTGATGATGAGCTTGCTTTTCCATAAGGGCTTTCCTTTGATTCAGGGAATGGGCCAACCAATGAGAGAGGGGCATGTTAGATTATTTTGGGGAAGGGCTCATGCCAGGAGGGTTCACTTTTACTAGGCGCCAAGTGTCCCCAGCAACCAGTGTCTCCTGTACCAGCAGAAGCTCCAGAACTCTCACCCCCTGGCCTGCCTCTGCCCCGTCTGTGCCCACGGAACAGCCATGAGAAGGCAGCTCCGGTCCAGAAGGGCTCCGGCCTCTCCTTATGCTTATCGCTACAGACTTGTGAGTCCCGGGGAGCAGAATATTTTGCCCGCCCTTTTGAGGGGGGTGGGCTGGGGGTTGCGTAGATCTTGGCTTATGGCCGCTTCTCCTCAGCATGGGCAGGAACAGCGAGGTGTAAGGAAGCCTATAATTTCAAGATCCAGCGGTGACTCCTGGCACCCCACTGTGCCCCAAATTGCTGCATTAAAGGAGGAAGCCCCTCTTCCTGGGGAACAAAAGACAAGGGGAGGGGAAGATGCCAAAGAATAGGGGCCTTCTAAAATTGGGGGGGGGGGAGTCTAGAATTTAAACCAACAGAGCTTTTGGAGTCTGGGAGTAGAGGTTTTGGTCCGATAGCAGGAAATTTTAGCCAGGAGAGAGAGGAAGGGGAAGAGGAAGGGAAAGACACAGCCCACCCAGCTGTCTTCAGTCCCCCGGGGCGGGAGCGCCTGAGGAACCCAGCTGCTCTTTTTCTAAAGCAGAAATTCCAAACTCTCGCGAAAAATCAGAGAATCGTAGATAGAAGCCGGGCGTAATCTTAGACATCATCTCTCCAGAACCCCTCATTATGTAAAGGAGGCTGCTGGGGCTCAGAGCACAGGAGTGACTTGCAAGTTAGTGAGAGAGCTAGTGAGAACGCCAAGTTTCCTCACTTCTAATCTTGGGCTCTTTCTATTAGACGTGCAGTAGGCAACTCCGTAGCCCTCTGATCCTCCCCCATCCGTTGCCAGCCTGCCTGCCACCCCACCCCACCCCACCCCGCCCAGCACACACACATACACACACACACTCTCAGCACGCGCTTCTCTGCTGTCGCCATTTATCTTCATCCAGGGTGCATCACAGATTTCTTTGAACCCACGGTTTCTTTGCATGTTCCTTGCTAGAAATCGTTAATATATGCCACACGCAGTACTTTTTTTTGGGGGGGGGGAGTCTGAAATCTCCCCCAGAGAGGGCTGTGATCTGAGCCCCAGGAGGAAACAAAGCTTAATCCACTTTTCTTTGGAAATGGCCCCTTATATAACCAGGGAGTTAAGTAAAGACTGTCAACAGCCTGCAGAGGAAAACACGAATCCTTCCAAGTCCATGTCAACCTACAGAGGGCTTCCCTTCTCGGCCACACCGTGTAGAATCTTTCTTTGGGCATTTCAAGAGTCCCTCCCAGCTTTTGGCGCACTCACAGCCTGTAGGGCACCTAGAACTCTTCCTTCCTTGGCTTCTTTTCTCCGTAATGTTGCTAAAGGGTTGTGCATAGGTTCAGTTATTTGGCAAGTGCATCAGAGGAGCTTGCTCTTTATAGGAAATGCTTGATTTTAAAGGCATCGGGGGATCTTGCCCTTTAGAGGGAATACTTGATCAAATTTAAAAAGAAACTATTTAATGCAGTGGTTAATCATATGCTAATTTCTCTTTAAAATCAACCAACCATTCAAACGTTTACATGGTGTTACTCAATGCAGGGCACAAATTTATCCTTTGGGTCACACTGTTTGTTTATATGTTTATATATTTAGAGTGCTCAAAATGGAGCCACCCTCTGCCCTTCAGACTCTTCCCTTTTAGGGCAACATGATGGCCCCGGCACACACCCACTACTATATTCCAGCACATTCAAACACACTATCACAGGAGGGCACTGCCTCTCATCACCAAAGGATTCCCTACAGGATTCTGTTAAATAGTTAGTTGCACAAAAGTGCCTCCCTTGCACAATGTGAGGTTCTCCTGTCCCGGGAAGCAGAGGAGAGCAAAAAAGACATTTGAGATTCCTGAAACTCAGGCAGTGTGAGAGCCGTGGGGAAATTAGCTCGGAGAAGGTTAATTCTTCCCGGGAGGGTAAAGCTTTAAATGACAAGCCATCTTTAATGGGATTATCATGAAAGCTCATATCTACAAATAAGATCAGGCTGAGGCCCAGGCCAGCTGCCTCCTCTGTGGAGCAGAGGTGGAGGGCAGGCCCCCCCGGGCAAGAGGGAGAGAAAAGTTGTTCAGAAAACATAGAGGGGACTATAAATCCTTTCGCAGTGAACCATTCCACCTCAAATTCTCGGAGATTCCCAGGTGCGGTAGATTCTTGGGGGGCCATGAGGACTACACACCACAGTCCACAAGGCTGCTGGGGTTTAGGACGACAAGCTCTGTGAGAGCAATTTCCCCAGAGTCCAGGCTCAGGTTTTCAGCGGGGCAGTTACCACTGGCGCTCGTTCGGTCCCCACTGGCTCCCGAGCTGTGGGCCCCACACGGGGGCAGGGCCATCAAGGAGTTGGAAAATATCCACTCTGCCCCTTGGGTGCTCAGAATGTAGTTGGGGAGGTCAAATGCGTCCGTGTGTTCGCACACAAGGTAAAGAGATTTAAGAACATTTATTAGTCCATTCAACGCTGAGTGATGGGGGCTTTTCTGAGTCTTGTACCGTGAGTCCACGTCAGAGCCAGAAATCCTTGATTATGAGCACCTACGATCTCTTGGGAGCAGAACCCGACACACCTATGGTGGCTCCATCATTCTGTTAACAGCGTCTGGGCGCTTGCGCTCAGTGTGCGAGGGGAGACACGTCACTGTCCCGGGTAACAAGAGACACAGGTTCTGTCAACTCGATCACAAATTCGCTGTGTGGCTACAGCTATGTCCTGCTCCCTCTCTGGGCCTCCGAGGGACAAGGGAATCTTCAGGGTCCCAGTCAGTTCTAGTATGGTGTGTGATAGAAAGCTGTACATCGGAACAAACTCGAGAGCCATTCAGAAGTGCTTACGATCCAGAGCTAGACAGCGCTGGCCAGACTGAACACTGAGAGCAGAGCCTTGTCATTCTCTGTCCCTTTTACTGATTCTGAACAATCCAATTTTCTGAGCCCCCCCCCCCCCCAATGGCAGCATTTTTAGCTGAGTGTCCTCTAAACGGCCTTTGAGGAATCAGGCAGGGAGGGGGCAGCATGGAGCCCCTGGCCTCTATCATTTGACACATCCAACCCCAACAGGTGCACAGGCCCCGCCACCCTTCAGATTTGGACAGCAGAGAGAAGGGAGGGTGGCCTCATTTTCTGCTGCTGCAGTGAGCCTTGGCAGACCCCCAAAGAGCAAAGATCCAACTCTCCTGCCTATGGCTGGGAGGCATTTGAAATACCGTTGGTGAAGTCTGGGTTTCTCTTTTTTTGTTTAATTTCCTTAGAACCACTCAGAGAAGATTATAGTTTCAGATCTCAATGACTGCAATCAGTCAATCAACAGATATGTGCTGAGCACTCACTACGTGCCCAGATTTTTGCCTAGGGTATGGGGTGGGGGTGGGGGATGGGGGGAGACTAAGGAAATATCAGTTGAGGTTCCAGACCTTCGGGAGTCTGTTCGACCGGCGGAGGTGCCAGCCCAGGCAACAGTCAGAGAAGCAGCAAACAGACCCCTGTGTTTTGTTTTTGCTAGGGAGGGAGTCTAAGTTTTGAGGAGGGGTCCAGCCCCTGGCCTCTCCTCCTGCTGTCTGTCCCAGGCTACTTTCAGATACAACGTGGATGGTCAGGTTGAGCACCTGCCAGCTACAGGACCGACGGTAAAGCTGGCTTGGACTTAGAATTTGCCATGGTGGACTCAAGTGTCTAAAATGAGTCTGTTCTCCGGTGTTGAGCTCAGCTCTGCCCTAACAGGCCAGACAAAGCGAGGCCAAGGCCCCAGGACGGAGGAGTGACATAAGCAGAGTCCTGGGGGGAAGAGCCCAAGGGCCTGCAGCTGAGAATAAAACTTACACCTCTGTGGAAAGAATATTGGGTCAAAATGGGTCAAAGAAAGGATATTTCCTCCAAAAGAGCAGAGAGAGAGAGAGAGAACATGTGCCTCTTGTAACGAGGGGGAAGCGTCTCTGAATATTGAGTCGTTTTCCATTCCTTTTGGCTGGTGGGATGTGCCCTGGGGAATTTTTTCAAAAAGGGGACTGTGTTTTGTCACCATTCCAGGATGATCAGGATGAAGTGAACCAGAACTACTTAGCAGATGAAGAGGAAGAAGCTGAAGAAGAGGCTCGGGTGATGGTGGTACCCGATTTGGAGGAGGAGGAGGAGGAAGAGGAGGAGGAGGAAGAGGAGGAGATAGAAGAGAAGGAAAAGGAGGAGGAAAAGGGTCAAGGTCAGCCAGCAGGCAATGCTTGGTGGCAGAGATGGCAGATCGTGAGCGAATACCTGTGGGATCCGGAGAAAAGGATGTCTCTGGCCCGAACAGGTCAGAGTTGGAGTAAGTCCCAGTTGTCCCAATGCCCCAGTCGGGTGTCCTTTGCTTTTGGCTTGGTGTCCAGGACTCCTTTACCATACGTTGGATGGGCTTGTCTGCAAACTTCTCTTAGATTTCGTGTGAAGGGCTGGATGCCTAGGGAAATGCCTGGACTGTGGGCAGATCCCATCGGAAGAAACTCCAAGTATGTAAACACACTAGATTGTGGAGCTGAAAGCCGCTGGGCTCAACTTCATTTGCGATGCAGAGAGACAGTAAGAATGAGTTGAGAAAGCACAGATTTGTTGTTGTTGTTGTTGAAGTCCCGGCCCCATCACTTTCTATCTGTGTGACCTTGGGCTCATCCTTTACCCTCTCTGAGCCTCATTCTTCCTCACCTGCCAAATGAGGGAAACAACCCCTACCATGTTTCTCCCACAGGATCAGCCTGAGGCTCCCGTCAGATGCTCCAGCTGTAAACTTGAAAGCACAGCTGACCCTTGAACAACACAGGTTTGAACGGCACACTGCCCCACACGGGGGCTGTGTTTTCCCCCATAAATACAGCGTAGTGCTGTAAATGTATTTTCTCTTCCACAAGATTGCCTTTTCTGTAGCTTACTTTATCGTAAGCAGACAGCATATCCTACATGTAATGTACCAAATACGTGTGAATTGACTCTTCCTGGCTTCTGGTCAACAGTGGGCTATTAGGAGTTACGTTTGGGGGAGTCAAGACGTAGACACAGATTTTCAGCCGCACGGGGGTTGGCACCCCTAAGCCCCGCGCTGTTCAAGGGTCAATTGTACTATGCAGTAGACTGTTGCTAGGATATGAGACCCCAGTCCCTGCTAACTTGACCGCGGATTTATAAAATCTCATCGTTTCACCCAGTAATGTCCGAAAAGGAAAGCCAGGAGGCCTGCCCTTGGCCCCGGCTTGTGGGTGCTTTAGGCTCCCACGGTGTACACAGAGAAATTCGGTTTAAAGGGGTCATTTCTGGCGATTACGGCCGAGCCCCCGTCGTGCTCAATCAGTGGCAGAATGGCATTCCTTAGCCACGGCCTTGACTTCACGACCTCTCCAGCACCCCTTTCCCAGGGTCCTACTCACCTCTTGAACTATTCATGCTGTGCCTTCTCCTCGGGAGATTGAGCCTGTGGTAAAATTCACACTTGCCACACTCTCTGCACAGCTCAGAAAAAGAGTAGCCGCTGGCTTGGCACTCAGTTAACCCAGGAGAAAAACAAAATAGATGACTCTGCGGATGAAATCAGAGTCCCCCAGGGCCCAGGGTCTAGGTTGCTGAAGTTGACGGTCATGCCTTCTAAAGGCCCCTTTGGCTGAGAATTCTCTCCCCACCTAGTTTATGTTTCTAATTCAGCTCCGTCAGGGTGAGACGGCCAGCCCTCCTTCCTGGAATTAGGAATAGCAGGTGTGGGGCTCTGAGCAACGCCCACCTCCCTTCACCCCTCCTCAGTTCCCAGCCCCACCCCTGCCAATCCCTCAAACTCTCAACTGGAACAAATGTACCATTCAAGGAACATTCCAACATTCTGGAAGCTGCAGACAAATGCCGGACACTCACTGGGGCTCCTAAGGGGGCACAGCTGTTTCTCCCTTGCCTAAAGAAGACTGGGAAAATAGGCCTTGTGAAATGCAAGTGTGATTCTGGGAGAGGGAGCTGTACTTTAACCCCTAAACAGCCAGCCATTGGAATTTCACCAGATGAGCTGATCCATGTGGCCCCTGGGGAGAATAATCCACAGGCCAAAAGAGAATGATGGGGGAGAAAGTTTCAAGTGCCCAGGGAAGACATGGCAGTGGGGACACCGCATGGTAGGCCATATCCGGGCCTCTGGATGGCAGGTCTGAGGAGAGTCCAGGAACTCAGGCTTATGCTGTTGGGCTATGCCTGGGCAAGGGGCACATGGTGATGTTAATGCCTAGGCCACCAAGCATATGCTTTGCTGCCCTCTTTGCTGCCCTCTTGCTTGAAAACTAGGTGCCCACTTGAGCATTTACTAACCCTATCCCAGCCTGCACATCGACATGACCAACATTATTCACCCAGCCTATGATAATACTATTCCGGGTTTTTCCTTTGGTAGCTGGGCAACTTCTATTTTTAGGAACTATCTGTTATTTTATTGGATACTGACAAGAACCATATGAGGTAGTAATATTATTATCCCCATTTTACAGATGCAGAAACTGAGGCTTAGAGAGGGTAAGTAACTTATCTAAAGTCACACAGTTATTAAGCTGCAGCACTGGAATTCAAGCCCAGGTCAGATGAACACTGGGGCTCATCCTCTTGCTGGAACACCACATTGTCTTCATGAAGGGTAGTGATGAGCAAGGCCCTGATGGATAGGGTCTCAGGACCTGATGGGATGTTTTGGTGGGAGGAATGAAGAATCTAGATCATGGGGCCCAGGCTTAGGTAAGGCATTCAGAAGAGACTCCTGGATTACCTAAAGGAGTAGCCCAAGTAAAACCTGGACATCCAGGGCAGAAAAAGTTGGAGGGTGCAGTGGGTTCCGATGGGTACGGTGCTTGGTCTTCCTTGGTGGGGATGGGGGGGTGGGAAGCTGTGTTAGCCCATCACAGACTTCAGGGCATAGCTCAGGGGTAAGGCTCAGGGGACTCACCACTAGTGCCATTCTCCCCTCTACACTTCCTAGCCATACATCCTACGCAAGGCAGAAGACATCTCCAAGGCAATGTACCTGTATCCCATTGCTTTCCTTTCATCCATGAGACTGAGTCTTCTAGTCCCCCAGGATGGCTCCAGTCATTGACCCCTTCCCAGGACTGGGGACCGGGGTTGAGGAAGGGGGTCGGAGGCACAGGGCACATCCCATCAGGGCAGCCAGTGGGCAGGAGCCAAGTACCACAGGCGCACGGGCGCTGCTGTTTCTTCTCCAGGGATTCCAGCGGAATCGATGTGTTCCTGCCCCAGTTCTGCCTCAGTTCACCTTATGAAACATCAAGGTTCCATTTCCAGTTGGATGCCTGAGGATCTTTTTTCTCCCTTCCTCCGCTCCTCCCTCCCCCCCCTTCTGGTTAATTTTATTTGGTTCATGGTTCAATTTAAAAATTAATATTTGGATTCAGTTTTGGGTACAGCAGAGTTATGTGGTTTGCTCCGGTTTCTGGTTCGTGATTCAGTTCAAATCTGTCTGTTCCGACATCATGTCATTGCTGTGAGCGAAGCCAGATATTGTTGCCGGAGAGGGCCCCAAGGAAGACTTGAAAAGAGCTTCTCAGCAGCCATCTCGGGCTCATTCACCTCACTCGGTGCTGCCTCATCCTGGGGCAAACCTAATCCCAAAACAGCCTGCGGAGGAGGCATTCAGACAACCGTGCTTCTTTGGGTCCTACAGCAATAAGCACATGAATAATAACAATGGTGAGGACCTGCCGTGTAAAGAGCACTTGGTATCTGCCAGGCTCTGTGCTATGCTATTTATATGCATCGTCCCACACCAAGAAGGAAGTCCTATTATAGTCCTCATTGTACAGATGAGGAAATTGAGGCCCAGAGAGGCGAGCAGTATGTCCAAGATGAAACAGCGAGGAAATGGTAAGGTCAGGAAAGGACGCGAGGAGAAGCGGAATTTCAGATATTGTTAGGGATGTAGATCAGTATATGACGTGAAGTGCTAAGCTTGTTCCCATTTTACCTGTGAGGACTTGGGGGCACAGAGAGGTTCTGGAACTTGCCCAAGCTCACAGGTAGAGCAAGTGTCGATAATTAAGTACAGTTTCTTCCTCCTTCCTTCCCCGTCGCGTGTTCTTTTGGAAAAGCAGAGCCACTTAAACTTTTGCTAAAGATGAATAAGATTTGAAATAAGTAGGGTGAGGCCTCACTTTGCCTTGATTAGAGTAGAGGCAAGTCCAGCGGAAATTAATCAAAAGTTTGAATTATAGGCTATGTGAAAAGAAATGCTGTTTTCATCTCTTGCAAATACATATAATCACTGGAGCCAAGCCGCTAGGACTTTTCAGGGCACCTGCTTTAATGAGGGCTCCCAAGCAATTTGCCCTCTGCAGTACTCTCAACTCCACTCCCCTGTAATCTTGCTCATGGCCATCATCTGCTCAACAAGCCCTTCCATCGGAGATGCTGTAAAGGTACACTGCAATCAGACCTCCGGCACAGTTCTCACGAATTCCAAATTGGTGAAATCTGAATAAGCAAGGACATACTGAATCTGGGGAATATGGATAAATAAATAAATAAATAAAAGCCATCTCCCATGTTGGGGTTGGTTCTAGCTCATGAGTTCAAGCGAGGAGGCAGGAGGGCTAGTTGGCAAGCACTGACCACTCTCATCTCTGATCCTTCTGCAGGCCTGATCTTAGTCATTTACTTCTTCTTCTATGCCTCCCTGGCCGCTGTCATCACCCTCTGCATGTACACGCTATTTCTGACCATCAGTCCCTACATGCCGACCTTCACTGAGAGGGTGAAGCCTCCTGGTGAGTGCCCAGATGCCCCGTGCTGTCAGCAGTCGCTGGACAGAAATCTGCTTGGACAGCATGTTCAGCCTCAATTAACTTTGGCTCTTCCTGGTAATGACTTAGGGATTCAATTATTAAGAGTAAAAGTAAAATGGCACTTGGCAAATTATGGTCCTTTTTGTTTTGATTGCCTGGGGGGTAATGGTTTCATGGGAATCAATACAAAAAAATTATCCCAAGAACGGGTTAATATATCCAAGACCTGTTTTCGTTGCCAGGAGTTATGATTAGACCCTTCGCCCATAGCCTTAACTTCAACTTCAACGTTTCTGAACCTGACACTTGGCAGCATTATGTCATTAGCCTAAATGGCTTTCTCCAGGGTAAGTAAGTGCCTTTGAATGGGGGAAATCTCTGTGGAAAGGTGATGGGTTGGGGGTGGGGGATTCGAAATTCACAATTCACCAGAAATCCCACCCTTACTAACCCCAGCCCATCCTGGTCTTTCCTTACCTTGCAACCCCCTCAGCACCTGTATATACAATCAGGACTGTTCTAGTTTGTGATTGTATGTTGTCTTGAAAGCATATAAGCCAAGGCTCCAGCAAGATGCTAAGTTCACTGGGGGCAGAGAATTTGTTTTCTTAAACATCCAGATCGCTCAATAATGACCATTTATAAAAGATCATTCCAGGGGGTGGGTAGTGGTGAGAAAAGAAGAGTGTTCTCCAGAATGGGAAGATTCCTGCCTCCTATACTTTCTCAAGGTAAGAGAATTCCTTTCTTGGAGATGGGCCATCTTGAAGGAAGAGAGCAAGGGTCTTGATTTAATAGCATCCTGGCAGGGAGTTAGAGAAAGAATCTCTGGGTGACAGTCACTCTAACATTTTGATAGGAAATGTTTGCAAGATGCCTATCTCTATAGTGTCATCAGATACACTTTCAGGGACCGAGTGGCTTTTTGAGAAGCCCTTCCATGGACTGAAAGCTGAGGTAGCAGTTTGGTTAAGGTCCGACACAGAGCACGCAGGCTCTAAGCCCCAGTGGGCTGCATAAATTAGTTGTGGAAAAAAGCCAGTTTCATTGCTTTGGTTGTCCCTGCCTGGCTGAAATGGAGGGATAGGGAGCAGTAGAATGTGCACTGAAAGAGAAAAACAATCTCTTATGTGATGGGAAGGGTTATGTAAATGCATAAATTTTGTCATTTAACTTTAACCCTGCATAGAAGCTACCGTCAGGGTGCCTGGGTGGCTCAGTCGTCGGTTAAGTGTCCAACTCCTGATCTCAGCTCAGGTTTCGATCTTAGGGTTGTGAGTTCAAGCCCCGCATTGGGGCTACATAAAGAATCTACCATCTCCATTCTACAAATGGGCAACTGAGGCTCAGAAAGGGGAACGTGATAAAAGTCTCCCAGCAGCCGAACCAGTGTTTAAAACCACATCCATGGTTGTGACACCTTCGCTACTGGAGTGTGGTCCAGGACCCGCAGCATCAGCATCCCCTGGGAGTTTGTTAGAAGGGCAGGCTCTCAGGCCCCACCCCAGACCTGTTGAATCAGGATCGGCACTTGAACAAAATCCACAGGTGATCTCTATAAACTTTAAGGCTTGAGAAATACTGCTTTTTGTAATTCTTTGTTGCTGCCATATGACCGGGACTTAGAAACTCAGCTTTGTAACAGTCATGCTCAGTGTCATTTTGGGGAAGTCTGAGTTTCAGATTCCTCATCTGTAAAATGAGGGGGACTGGGTCCCTTCTGAATCCATGTAGTTTTTTGAGCTCAAAAACAAAAACAAAAACGTTTTGGGCATCAGAGCCAGCACAGTCTCGTCTTTTCTTTCAAACTGTCTGTGAGCTATTCCAAGTGTGTTGTCAGAATCTCTGCTGAGGAAATCCCTCCAAGAAGCTAGTAGATAGAGAAATACCAATTCTGACCTGACGACAGAGATGGAGAACATTAGGGAAAGTATTGGGTTTTTAGTTCCTAAGGGTAGATAACATGCCCTATTTAAAAGGAACACATCTCTGAAATAGACATCCCAGAGTATCAATTTCATTCCCACGAGGACTGGGATTTTGCAATAAGGGTCATGCCCATGTCACATTATTTTTAATGGAACTACCTCAAGAGAAACAATGAGCACGTGATTAGAGCTTCTATTTAGAAACTTATTATTTGAACATAGTTCTTGTTCTAAAAAAAAAAAAGATTAAAACGAAAACTTGAGTCCAATGTAGCTTTGTCAAAGGAAAAATAAAGGCTTAACCGTAATTGGAATAGATTTAAAATTCCCAGTTGCTCCTTAATAATATTAAACCCAAGTCACAACCTGTCTAGATGACAACCCAGCAGTACATCTGGAGTTTTACCCCCGGTAGATTATAGGTGCACAGACTCCTCTGAAAAACTAAGCTACTGGGAACATGAGTGCATGGGGGCTGGACCTAACAGGACTAACTGGACTCCGTCATTTAAAACCAAATTGGAAATAATGCAGTCATTTCCAAAGCCCAGTTCAGTGGCATCTGGTAGTCCAAAGAGTGAGCTCACAGACAGCCCCTTTTCAGCTCTCTCTCCGTGATATGTATACCTTGGACACATGCTCCTTTCCATCCGATGTAAATGGACATGAACCCTGAGTGCCTAGGTTCTCAGTAGACAAGATCTCACCCTCTCACGTTCTCGGGGGAGACCCTACAGCTTGTCGTTGGTTTCTGTCTTTCAACCTAAGCTTCTCTTTTGTGGTGCTAACTTCGGTCTGTAAAGGATGAGAAGCTGGTTTATCTCCTCTTCCTCCCTCTTTCTCCTCTTCCTCCCTCCTGTCCCACAACACACACTTCTCATTTTCTTGTGTCTGGTGTCTCTCATGGACCTCCAAGGGAGATGTTTCCTAGACTGAACTTAAAAAGATTTAGCCCAAGAGGTTTGCTTCCTTATATAAGCCAGGCGGTGACATGATTCAGTCCCTCTTCCAGAATCTACTATGTGCCTCTTCCTCTTCCAGAAGTAGAAGGGGCAGCCCTCCCCAGTTTACAGTTTGCCATCGCTGAAAAAAAATAATGGAAAATGGACGTTATACGGTGACCAACACATGACCCAGAGATAGCTATTCCAAAGTTTGGAGGGAAGGAGAAACAATCGAAGTGGGCCCAGGGGATGAGCCTGAAAGGCTTCCGGGAGAGAGGCTGATGGGGGGCCTTGGCCACCGACGCCAGGTCACAGAGCCTAGGCCAGGCTGAGTGGGCTCTCAGAGGAGCACCAGAATGCTGCAGAAAGGAAACTAGGGAGGAGGACTACTGAAAACGTGGCCCTCCCCTGCAGCACCTGTCTAACAGGCCCACCTCCCCCCTGCTGCCCCCCCCCACACTTTAGGTTACAATGACAGTCTTCAAGAGGAGATGAATGTAGATTGTCCCCCGGGGCAGTACTTCATCCAAGATGGCGATGAGGATGAAGACAAGAAGGCCTGCCAATTTAAGCGCTCCTTCCTGAAGAACTGCTCGGGCTTGGAGGACCCTACTTTTGGCTACTCTACTGGACAGCCGTGCATCCTTCTAAAGATGAACCGGGTATACTGGCCCTTGATACTCCGGTGATACTAAGTGGAGGAGCTGGGTGGGAAGGCTCTGGCCCCTCCGTTTCTCTTGGGCTCTGTATTCACACCCTGCAAGTCTGGCCACTCTTACTGACAGCATCAGTAATTCCAACAACCGGACAAACCTGTCAAGCAATAATCCCTTTTTCTCCCTGAATACTTCCTATTTCCACCCTCCTCTCCCGCCCCTAACCTGCCCTCTGATGCCCTCTGTCAGTAACGAGGTCCTGAGCTGTTTGGAACAGGGGACTGACATGATGGGAGGGGCAAGTCTTCTATTACAAGAGACACATTTTCCTCCTCTCCTGCCATGCCTTAGGTGTGGTAGAGCCCTACCAGGCACATCCCTCTTAAAACCAGAAAGTTCTTTACAGCTTCGGGGTTCTCTTGCTGCCTTTACCATTGTACAAACATCAGGCACAAATACAACAAGGAGTAAGCTGAGCTGCACAGCTCTGGAGATATTTTTGCATTTTTTGCTTTTTGTAACATTCCTGAGAGGGCGAAATAGGTTAAGTTTATGCCTACGGAAGGGGTGGCTTAAGGGGGGGTTTAGAAAAGCCCCATTTTTACTGTCCAATCCGTTTTGTGTTTTGATGTTCAACAACAACAACAACAACAATGCTGGTTTTCTTTTGATAGATTGTAGGCTTTCGTCCTGAGCTTGGGGATCCTGTGAAGGTGTCCTGCAAAGTTCAGGTAAAGTGCCTTTTTGAGTAAGTATTGCTAGCCCATCTGTTTTATGTAAAAAGATGGTTCATCCCTTCCAAGGGTTTCACCATGGATGCCGGGCTATGGGTTAGGGAAAGGTTAGTATGTCATAACTACGCCTCCCTCTAGTACCTTCTGGCCTCCCTCTTGCCAGAAAGCATTCAATTCACGTCTGTGTGTGTCGTGCGACTGTGTGTGTCCTCGCTGGTTTATACCTGTGAACGCCAAAGAATGAACCTGCTAAGGGCCACAGCAGGGACCGACAACGGGCCATGGCATTAACTGGGATTCTGTTTATACTTTTGCTTTTAGCTCTAATTACTTGTTTCTTTGAACTAAACAACCAGCTTTCATTAGAGTCATTAGTCCCTGCTTTTAAACCAGAATTTCCCTTTTTGCACCAATGACCAGTGGCACTCCGTGTTACAGTAACAAAGGACTACCAGGGAAGTATAAACAGAACTCCATTAATATGCTAATTAACTGTCCTCCGAGGGACCATTAACTTCTATCTCATCTGCGCCAATTAGCTCCTTTGTAGGAAGAAGCCCTAGATCTTGGGTTTGCTTCTCAAACCGGAAGCAGTAGTTCCCTCCGGTTTCCTAACATGCACTGCACCCCCAGCCCTGGACGGCTGCCTCGCTACTGTCCTCAGACCTCCAGCCTTGAGGGTGGTGGGTCAGAAAGCAGAAAGAGGCAGCATTTATTGATCCCTTAGGCTACGCCAGGTACTTTGCTAGGTGTTAGGGGTGCTGAGATAGCTATGACTCGGTCTCTGAAATCGGGGCAACCACGTATTACAGCTGCTGTGAAAGGTGCAGCGGGGACACGGAAGATGAGGGTTGAAAGGTCAGGCCGTGGTTTGCCCCGTGAACAAGGTAGGAAGGACATCCATTCTGTCCACCCGGACATGAGTGTGCGTAAATATACACACACTCCAGACGTGAAGACAAACTAGTGGCACTGATTCCACAGGCTATTCACAGACGTGAACTGCGTTGCTTTCTAGAAGAAAATGTAAGTAAATCATAAAGACCGACTCAGTCTTAAACTAGCATACTAATTGGCTTGAGCCCTGCTTATAGTTCCCTAGTGGAAGCCATTCGTTTTTCCGTTTACACAGAACCTTGCTAAGAACCGTCCTTTAAAAAGAAAACAAGAAATAGTCAGAGTCGTCATACATTCCATAATAATCAGTTGGTCAAAATCCACACCCACTTGTGGAAATCAAGCAGGACAAGGTCATCACTAGAATAAGAGTATACTCTGAACGATTACACTATATTGACAGAAGCAATCCCATGACCCCAGTGAGTGATCCGCTAGTAGTGAGCACTGTCTGTCCCTTGTTAGCCCCCAGACCTCTGCTATATAGGGCAAGCCAATGCATAGGCAGAATGGTCAGTCCCCTACCTGACATGATATGATGAGGGTACACTTATTTATTTCATCTTTGCAGTGCTGGTTCCCTCTTGCTTATCCTCCTGAGTTCACCTCCTGCAATTAAGCACTACGGAGAAGGTGGTCAGACACATGAGTTTCGGTGGGCCAGACTATAGGCTGTGTCCCTAGGCAGCAGACCCCTGTGCACCTGGTCTACCTTCCAACAGAACTGAGCCCACGGTGTGCAAGTTGTCGTGGCGTGGGATTTACTCAATATGTTCTAACATCTACCTGCCTCAACGTCCAAGACTGGGTGCCAGGCCCAGGATGATTTTTTTTTTTTTTTTTTTTTTTTGGAGAGGGGCTGGCATGGTAGGCCCTCTTGCTAGAGCAGCACCAGCTACTGCCAGCCTTCTGGAGCCCTTCTGTCTGGGTCCCCTAGGAGCCAGTACAGAACTATATCGAGCACATTCAGCCTCCTCAGTCCAGGCCTCCCATTCAATATTCTTTCAACTGAAAACCGAGGCAGTCTCTCCCTGGAAATGCTCTGGGGATAGGTAAGCTATGCCCCATTCTGCTTTCATGGGTCTTCCTGGGACAGTTGGTTATGGGTCACATTGTGATTTCACCTGGGGCACAGGCCCCTTGAGCTCAGGCTTCAACCCACCAGGGGACCCGGCATCCCACATACACCTGCTTTTACTTCCAGAGAGGCGATGAAAATGACATCCGATCCATCAATTACTACCCAGAGTCGGCTTCTTTTGACCTTCGCTACTACCCTTACTATGGCAAACTGACTCACGTAAGCCTGTATCCTTTTCAGTCTTTGCTGTCAGAAAGGGCTCAGAGACAGAGGCAGGCCTGTTCGGAATTTCTGAGAATTAGGGAGCAGCATGTAGTAACAGTGGGGTGAACAGTGGCTGGCCAAGACCAGGAGCTCCCTCTACCAATTCCTAGTACAACCACTCCTTTCCGTATCTGAAGGTATTTCAGCTCTGGTCTGGTCTAACTCCTTCAGATTACAGATGGAGAAATTCGAGTTCAGAGAGAGAAAGCGACTTGCCCAACACATATAGCTAATTAGTGGCAGAGCCAGGAGCAGACAGATCACTGTCATTGCACTCCACGATACCCAAATAATCACACCTGCCTGCTTCTCCCAGGTGAAGCCTTGGGGCGGCGGTGGTGGGTCATAGGGCGAGGCTTCACCTTTCCCAGAGACATTGGAAAGATACTAGTTCTGGTTTCATTCGTGGTCTGATAGCCAGAATATCCTATCACACAGAGTTAGAACTGGTTTTCCCCAGAGGAGGGTCAGACATCTGACAGTGGCTTATGCAAGAAGAGTGCCATTTCCCCACCATCCCAGGGCAGAGAGCATGTCAGTTGCTTTAGCCATTCGTGACTTGGCATCATGGGATTTGCTCAGTTCCCTGTGTGAGGGTTATCCCATCCTGCACTGAATATCTGCTCCCTTGCATCCTGTTACCCACCGCCACGCCCTCCGCTCCTCGCACTTAGGATTCATGTTCTTCCGCCTACAGGTTAACTACACCTCCCCGCTGGTGGCAATGCACTTTACAGATGTGGTGAAGAACCAAGCGGTGCCCGTCCAGTGCCAGCTGAAGGGCAAGGGCATCATAAATGATGTCATCAATGATCGTTTTGTGGGTAGGGTGATCTTTACTCTGAACATAGAAACCTAAGAACTTTGCGGGGCGCTCCCACTAGTTCTGTTTCTGTTTTATTTCATGTACCCCCTGGTAGTACCTGAATTCCTTTTCTTCGCTCAGGACACAGCCAGATGGACACCTAAGACAGCAGATCATCTTTCCTTGCCTTTGACATATGTATAAAATGACATTGTGGGATTGATTTTTTAAAGGTAGTCTCTCCTGATGACAAATAGATGATGTTAATTTCCTTTCCCCCTACTTAAAACTAAAACCCATTCTTGCTGCTAGAAGTCTCACCACAGTGTAAACATAGTATCTGATAAAATTCACAAGAGTCATGAAGGAGAATATCTATGATGATTTTAAATTCATCGTGTTTTGTAAAATTGTGTTGTTTTTAGAGGTGAGATTCCTCCCAACCAGGCTGATAACCTTTAAAAAAAAAAAAATTTTTTTTTTTCTTAACCTGCCTGACAAGTTCCTTCCCTGGGAATCACCAATCAGACCGACTCAGAATACACCTAGGGCTACCATACCTAGAGAACTCTATATCCAAGGGTGCTTGAGGAACTGGCTGCCTCAAAAGGGCAACTAAATAATACTGATTTGACGACTAGGTTATCTTCAGCTGGGACAGAAAGCAGTGCTAACTGGATATCGTTCTGGAATAGAAATGAACACCTTTCCTATGACTTTTTTGGGGAGGTGGGGTCCATAGCAACTGGGGAGAATACTTACCATGTGGATGTGATTGGCATTTGATTCCTTGCTCTGTGGTGTGATCATCCAAAGGCAAACATTCCTACACACGGGTTTGTCTCAGCTTCAGGCAAAGGAGAAAACAAGGAAGATCTCCACCAGCTAATTATTCTTGGGCTATATGCTTGACAGTAGTATAATGTTCTTCGAGACCATCTGGGATGGGCATGTTGAGCCCCAGCTACAGCTCTAGGGATTGAAATCACGGTCTGCCAACTGATACACAGTAAGACAGAAAGCTCCCGCCGGGCCACCCAAAATCCAAGGCCCATTGCCAGTGTTTCATTTGCCTAGAAAACGTGGGGCAGATGTTTATCCAGGTTGTGGATCAGCCAGGCTGCTTTGTCTTATCTTTGGCCATGCGACCATTCCACTGCTTCTTAACACCTCCACCAGGGGGAGGGCTGGGACAAGGAGAAAAAGTGAGCATTAGAGAATTGCATAGTGTCTCGGGGTCCAAAGTTAAGCTTCAGTGCCACCTAGAAGCACCCAGAGTCTGAATCTCCTCTATAATGTTTATCTTCTCCCGAAACAGGGAACTGGCAGTCTGGTAGTGAAGACAAACAAGCAAAGAAGTAACTATGAACTAGCATGACGACTTATACAACTAGTATGTGGAAATGGGAACATGAGGAAAAGTAACTAACTTGAACTGAGAAAGTAGCAGAGGAAATTTCACATGCAAAGTCACAATCACGAAAGAGCCCAGTGTGTTTGGGTAACTGGGAGCAGTTCGTGTAACTGGAGTGTAAGGGGCTCAGAGGAATGGCCAGGAGTGGCAGGGGATTGGGCTAGAGAGGTATAGAGGTACCGAAAGAGGACTTTGAGTTTAATCCAGGAGATGAAAAGGAGTCATTAAAGTATTTTAAGCAGGGAAGCTCTGTGATCATATTTGCACTTTAGAAAGAGCACTTTGGCAGCTACAGTGTGAAGGGTGGGTTGGAGAGGGCAAGACTGGGCAATGAGGGAGAAGGAGGAGTCGAGAATGGCTCCAAAGTTTTGAACTTGGCTAGAACCAGCGTGATGGTGATATTGTTGATGGAGGCTGGGAATCCAAGAGAGAAGCAAGATTGGAGAGCAAGATGTGATCAATCTCAAGCTTGTGATTCCTACTGGTCAGACACCGATGTCGAGAGGTCAACACAAGTGGGGTTGGGGAGAAGGAACTCTGAGAACAAAAGCAACATTTGCTTAAGTGAACCTTCTTAAGAAATTCTAAGCTATTTAATCTGGGGAACTCGAGCCAGTTACGTAAACACACCACACCAGTCTAGTCTCTCGGAGTGTTTTTCTCTTTTGCTCGGGGCCCAAAGCACTGCAGGCTGCTCTTTGGAATCTCCTTCCGGCTTTCCAACTCTTGTCAACAGAGTAGAGGGAAGCCGACCTCTGCTAACAAGTGATAGAAGATATTCGACAGCAGATCTGTGGAAAATACAAAAAAAACCCAATGAAACTGTCTCCTCCCAACCCCTGTCCTCACCAAATTCCGTTTCCAAAACTAATCAAGAACGAAATACCTGAAGACGGTAACTTTAAAACCATTTCAAGATTACCTCAAATAATCAAACTCTCAAAATTCAGTAGTAAAAGATAATAGAACATTAGATCTGGAAAGGATACTAGAGTGTTTAGAGCAAACAACCTGCATTGCATCTGACTCCAGGTCCAGTGCTCTTTCTACTCTGAGCTGCTGCTTACCAGGAAGAACCATCTTTTTAAAAATCAATGGATGATACCCCAAACATTTTGAAACATATGTCAAATTTGAGTTAGAATAGTTAACATTTCACAGGAATTCAACTACTGGTGCTATATTTTATACATAATACATTATCCTGTTAAATACGTTGACTATTACACAGACAAGGAATTATGACTCTTTTGTCATACAGTATTTCTCATTCAGTGGAATCCATTGTATCCACAGTTTCCAAGCAGTATTGAATAGTACTAGGATGGTTTGGGTTGTCAGATGGGACATGAAAAAACAGCTTTATCACACCGAACTGGATATTATATACTCACTAAAATGGAATTCTAGCAGTTCAATAAACTTCCGGTGGATTAATCTAAATCTTCCCCCATACTGTTTCATACCGGGATTTGATTTGTATACCATCTGTTGCAATGCACTTGGTTTTACTTGATTGTCAATGAGAATGACTACTTCCAAATGCCTTCGTGGTCTTGTCCATGCTAGATTTATGATTTCTCACCCCTCTGAAATCACTATCCTAAAGTTAACTTTTCTTAGGCATCTATCTGCTGGGACTCTTCATGTAGAAAACATTATTATTGTATTGAATTGTTGACAACAATAAATTGAAATAAAAAAAGGAATGTATGGTTTCCTCTTTCTAGATGGTACCACTGATTTTCCCACAGGAATACTGGGTAGCCATGTGGGTGGAAAACTTGACAAGTGACAGCCTATTAGTTTAAAACTTTTTTCTTCTTCTTCCCCCCACCTTTTTTTTTTTTTTTGACTCTTGGGGTTCAACCACAGGAGGATGAAACTAAAAGTTGTTTCATTTCTGAGTATTTTTCCTTTTTAGTCTCTATGCTCTGGTTTCTCAGAAGAGCAAACTTCCTTTCTTCATCGAGTACTGGTATAAATTGTTCCATTTGTTTGTGTAGGAAAGGAACACCAAGAGAAACTTTGAGGTGGGGAGAAGGAACCAAAATCCAAAGAGAAGCTGCAATTGCTTGATGAAAGCCTGGCTAAGTGACTTTAGGGCACATCTGGCCACAAATGGTCTCCCAGAGCAAATCCCTAATGGTAACTGCAATTAAAGACAGAAATATTTCCACTCCCTTGTTTGACTCAGAGGCTAAGCTGCTGTAGGAAAACCTTCTTTCTTTGGAAGCTGCCCTGGCCTAAGGTCTACTAGGCTTATATGGTTTGATTGGGGTGAAGTCTGTGATCCCAATACATTTCCCCTATCTAGGTTCTTCATTAGTCATTTTCCTTACTGATTTCCTCTTAAAATGCTCAAACATGATAAAGTAATTAACCAAGTCATGCAGAAGTGTGATTTACACTGTGATTTTATCTAGGCAGAAAACAGAGGTTTGGATGTGTGTGGTGGTGGGGAGGAAGGACAGGATGGATGGAGGCAAAGGGCGAGGAAAAAGGAGTTGAAAGGCTGAATAGCCCTGCTTACTTCACAAAGTTATTTAGTCGCAGGCTAGAAGGGGAGAAACGCTTATAGGAAGATCTAAAAGGCTTAAGAAAGATATGATAGGCTCCCAGTCTGGCAGCTTAGTCTCCAGGATGTAGTTCTGTGCAGGCTCCTGTATGGCCATAACATCAATCAGGGTTCCAACATTAAACTGCACACTTGACAAAATGGAATAATTGGAAGGGGGGTATTTCCAAAGAGATTACTTATAAATGTGTAGATGCAGGGAACCACAGAGAATAGCACAATAACCCAGGCTAGTATAAGCTAAACTCTTACCTTCCTAGGCCCCAAGGGACAGGCATAGGAAGTGATTCCCACAACCCAGAAGGACTGAATCATGTACAATTGACTGCCTTGAGAGGAGTGGTGACCTTGTTGAAGGACTAAGCTAGCCCAAGGTGATCTTGTAGGGAGGTAATCCTACACCTATTTATGGTTGTATCTGAACTTCTAAAACTAAAATCTTTTCAAAATTTTAACATTAAGATCTCCAAAGAACAGTCCTTTCACTCTACCCTACCATTTTGTTGACATCTTTCACTTGAAAGAAAGGGAGGATGAAGAGAGAAAGAAGCCACCTTGATTTATTCTGCTTTATCTTTACCAAAAAACATTCTATAATTCAACTCTTCATTAAATGTCTGGCTTGCATAAAACATTTTCTTTCCAGAACAGAATGATACAACCTTCATAATACAGCTAACTTGAGTCAGAAAAGTATTTGTCTTCCATTAAGGACAAACATGTTCATAAATGAGAATCAGGATAAAGGTGACATCCTTTCCCTCTCCAATCCTCCAGCTGATGTTATCATCTTGTGTATAGAAAATCCTAAGGAGCTACTAAAAGACTATCACAGCTAATAAAAAAGTTCACCAACAGTGCAAGATAAAAGATCAGTATACAAAAATCGGTTGTCTTTCTATACACTAGCAGAGAACAATTTAAAAAAGAGAAATTAACAAAACAATTCCATTACAATTGCATAAAAAATAAAATACTTAGGAAAACAGTAACAAAAGAAATGCAAGACTTGTGCACTGAAAACTACATAGCATTGTTGAAATAAAAGAGCTAAATAAATGGAAAGAACTATGTTCATGGATTAGAAGATTAATATTGCTAAAATGGCAATACTTTCCAAATTGATCTACATATTCAGTACAATCCTTTCAAAATCCAACTTCCTTTTTTCCCCCAGACATTGATATGGTTATCCAAAAATTCATTTGGAACTATAAGGGACCCAGGAAAAGTCAAAATAATTTTGAAAAAGAAGAACAAATCTGGAAGACTCATACATCCCAATTTCAAAACTTACTACAATGCTACAGTAATTAAAACAGTGTGGTACTGTCATAAGGATAGACATATAGAACTGAGAGTCCAAAAATAAACCCATACATCTGTGGCCAGTTGATTTTTGAAAACAGTGCTACATCCGTTCAATAGTCAAAGAATAGTCTCTTCAACAAATGGTGCTGGGACAATCCACATGCAAAAATGTTAATTTGGACCCTTACCTCATACCATATACAAAAATTAACCCTGAATGGACCAAAGATCTAAATGTAAGAGCTAAAATTATGAAAGTCTTAGAAGAAATATAGACATAAATCTTTGTGACCTTGGATTAAACAATGGTTTCTTAAATACAAAAATGTGCAAGGAGTCTAAATAGATATCTCTCCAAAAGAGATATACAAATGACTAATAAGCGTATGAAACGATGGTAAACATTCTTAGTCATTAGGGAAGTGCAAATCAAATCAAAACCACAATGAGATACCACTTCACATCCACTACAATGGCTGTTAAGAGAAAAGACAATAACAAGTGTTGTGGAGGATGTGGAGAAATTAGAACCCTCATAAACTGCTGGAGAAAATGTAAAATGGTGAAGCCACTTTGGAAAAACAGTGTGGCAGTTCTTCAAAAGGTTAAACCTAGGGTTTACCATATGACCCAGAAATGCCACTCCTAGATATACACCAAAGATCATTGAAAACATAACTCCACCCAAAAGCATGTACTTGAATGTTCATAGCAGCATTATTCATGATAACCAAAAAGTGGAAATAACCCATGTCCATCAACTGATGAATGAATAAACAAAGTGTGGCATATCCATATAATGGAATATTATTCAGCTATAAAAGCTATGAAATACAGATCCATGCTATAGCATGGATGAACCTCAAAACATTATGCTAAGTGAAAGAAACCAGAAACAGAAGGCCACATATATGATCCCATTTATATGACATGTCCAGAATAGGCAAATCCATAAAGACACAAAACAGATCAATGGTTGTCAGGAAGGGGTTGGAGGGGGGTGGAATAGAGTGATTGCTAATGGGAATGAGAATATCTATCTATCTATCTATCTATCTATCTATCTATCTATCTATCTATCTATCCATCCATCCAACTATCTGTCTATCCACCTATCTATCCATCTATAGACAGAGGGAGAGAAATTTCTGGGTCATATGGCAACTTCTTGTTTAACTTTTAGAGGAACTGCCAGGCTGTTTTCCAAAGCAGCTGCGCCATTTTACAGTCCCACCAGCAATATATGAGAGTTCCAATTTCTCTATATCCTTGCCTACACTTGTTACTGTCCATTTTTTAAATTATAGTCATCCCACAGGGTGTTCAGTGGCATCTCATTGTGGTTTTGATTTGCATTTTGCATTTCCCTGATGACTGATGATGTTGAGCATTTTTTTCAATGTGCTCATTGACCATTTGTATATTTTCTTTGGAGAGATATCTATTCGGATTCTGTGCTCATTTTTAGTTCGGTTGTCTTTTTACTATTTTTGTTAGAGCTATTTATGGTCTGGATATTAGACTCTTATCAAGTATAAGATTTACATAAATTTTCTCCCATTTTATGGGTTGTCTTTTCAAGTTCTTGATAGAATCCTTTGAAGTAAAAAAGTTTTTAATTTGGGTGAAGTCCAATTTATATTTTTTTTCTTTGGTTACTTGTGCTTTTGGTCTCATATCTAAGAAACTCTTTCCTAACTCAAGGTCATGAAGTTTACTCCTATGTTTTCTTCTAGGTGTTTGAGCTTCTGCTGGTACATTTAGATCTATGACCATTTTGAGTTACCACATTCTTTTTTTTTAAGATTTTATTTATTTATTTGACAGGGAGAGCAAGAGAGCACAAGCAAGGGGAGCAGGAGAGGGAGATGGAGAAGCAGGCTCCCCGCTGAGTGGGGAGACACAGGGCTCAATCCCAGGACCCTGGGATCATGACCTGAGCTGAAGGCAGACGCTTAACTGACTGAGCCACCCAGGCGCCCCTTGAGTTACCACACTCTTTTAATTACTATAGCTTTGTAGCAAGTTGTGATTGGGAAGTATGAATCTTCCAACTTTGTTCTTTTTAAAAACCTTTTTTGGATTTTCTGCATCCTTTTAACTTCTATTTAAAATTTTGGATCCGCTTATTAATTTCTGCAAGAAAGGTTCTATTTCAATGGTTGCTTTATGGTTTATAGCAGGTTTTTCTCAGCATTGTTGACATTTGGGGCCAGGTAATTGTTTTGGGGACTGTCCTATGCATTTTGTGGCATCCCTGGCCTCTATCCAATAAATATCAGTTTTGGAAACCAAACATGTCTCCAGGCATTGTTGAATGTCCTCCAGGGGCCAAAATCACCCCTGAGAACCACTGGTTTAGAGTTTATATCTTTAACATCACAACTTACCTTCAAGTTATATTATACTATTTCATGTATTGTATATGAACCTTACCATAGTATACTTCCATTTTCCCCATCCAGACCTTTTGGCTACAGTTATCATACATTTTACTTATTCATATGTCATAAGTCCCACAACACACTGTTATTATTTTTATTTAAACAATTAATTGTTTTAAAAAGAGATTTAAATAATAAGAAAAAGAATCTTATATATTTAATCATGTAGTTACCATTTCCTAAGGCTCCTTATTCCTTTGTGTAGATCCAGGTTTCCAAATAGCATCATTTTCATTCTGCTTGAAAAATGTCCTTTAAGGGGCAATAAATAAATAAAATCTTTAAAAAAAGTGTCCTTTAACATGTTCAGTGGTGCGGAACTGCTGGTGAGGGTTTTTCAGCTTTTGTATGCCTGAAAGTCTTTATTTTTGCCTTTGCTTTTGAAAAATATGTTGATGAGTATAGAATTCTTGATTGGGAGGGGCACCTGGGTGGCTCAGTTGGGTAAGCATCCGACTGTTGATCTCAGCTCGGTCTTAATCTCAGGGTTGTGAGTTCAAGCCCCATGTTGGGCTCCACACTGAGTGTGGAATCTACTTTAAAAAAAAGAATTCTTGAGGCGCCTGGGTGGCTCAGTCAGTTAAGCGTCTGCCTTCGGCTCAGATCATGATCCCAGGGTCCTGGATCGAGCCCCGCATAGGGCTCCCTGCTTGTCAGGAAGTCTGCTTCTCCCTCTCCCACTCCCCCTGCTTATGTTCCCTCTCTCGCTGTGTCTCTCTCTGTCAAATAAATAAATATAAAATCTTAAAAAAAAAAAGAATTCTTGATTAAGAGTGTTTTCTTTCACTTCTTTAAAGATGTTGCTTTACTGTCTTCTGGCTTGTTTCTCCAAGAAATCTGATGTTAACCTTTGTACATATCTTTTTTTCCCCCTCGCTATTTTTTTGTTTTGTTGTTGTTGTTGTTGTTTAAGATCTTATTTATTTATTTATTTATTTATTTGTCAGAGAAAGAGAGAGCACACAAGTAGGGGCAGCGGCAGGGAGAGGGAGAAACAGACTCCCTGCTGAGCAAGGAGCCCGATGCAGGACTTGGTCCTAGGATCCTGGGATCATGACCTGAGCCAAAGGCAGATGCTTAACCAACTGAGCCACCCAGGCGTCCCTTCCCCTCACTGTTTGTAAGATTTTATCTTTATCACTATTTCTTTTTTTTATATTTTATTTATTTACTTGACAGAGAGAGACACAGCGAGAGAGGGAACACAAGCAGGGGGAGTGGGAGAGGGAGAAGCAGGCTTCCCGCGGGGCAAGGAGCCCGATATCGGGCTCGATCCCAGGACCCTGGGATCATGACCTGAGCCTAAGGCAGACGCTTAACGACTGAGCCACCCAGGCGCCGCTCTTTATTTCTAAGCAATTTGATATTAATGTGTTTGGCAGTTTTCATGCTCCTTGTGCTGGGAGTTCATTGATCTTCTTGGATCTGTGGGCTTCCTAAAATTTGGAAATAACTCAGCCATTATTTCTTCTTCAAATATTCTTTCAGCTACCACCCCCACCTCATCCTCTCCTTCAGGGACTATGAATACATATATATATTGGGTTGCTTGAAATTTTCCCACAATTCATTGATACACTGATCTTGTTTCATTCATTTTCTATCTGCATTTCATTTCGACTATTTTCTATTGTTCTATCTTCAAATACACTAATATTTTCCTCTACAACTGGTAATCTATCATTAATCAAAAATACAGTGCTTATTTCATCTCAGATATTGTAGTTTTCATTTCCACAAGTTTGATTTGGGTCCTTTTTATATTTCCCATGTCTCTACCTATTATGTTCAATCTTTCTGTACTTTATTGAGGATGTTAAATACATTTATAATGACCTTTTTATTTTTTTTTTTTAAGATTTTTTATTTATTTATTTGACAGAGAGAGACATAGCGAGAGCAGGAACACAAGCAGGGGGAGTGGGAGAGGGAGAAGCAGGCTTCCTGCTGAGCAGGGAGCCCGATGTGGGACTCGATCCCAGGACCCTGGGATCATGACCTGAGCCGAAGGCAGACGCTTAACGACTGAGCCACCCAGGCGCCCTATAATGACCTTTTTAAATATTTATTTATTTATTTGAGAGACAGAGTGTGGGGTGAGGGGCAGAGGAAGAGGGAAAGAGAGATTCTCAAGTAGATTCCACATCGAGCACGGAGCCCTACTGGTTCCATAACATATGACACCCCCCGGAAAGCTGACATCCTGACAAAGTAATGGAATTGCCTGCTGAGGAACAGCTGAAGCACCAACTCAAAGTAAATACTTTGTGAGGACAGAATGCTGTTCTCCAGAATACATTAAATTCATTGAATCAAACATTTTTACATGGTGCGTATGCTCAATTAGGATACATGAGTTCAGGAGCCAAGGAGTGGAAGCAGGAATAGCCACACTTATCATCACTTCCAATGACACAGTTGGGGGACTTTATGTTTGCCATCTCTGCAATTCTGAACTTTCTAAGGTCAGAGGTGCTAGCCCTGAAGGGAGCTCACTCTAGCCCAGGGTTTCTCAACCTTGCCACTAACGACACTTGGGGCTAGATAATTCTTTGTTTGCAGGGGCTGTCCTGTACATTATAGGATATTTAACAGCATCCCTGGCTAGACGCCAGTAGCACACTCTTCCCAGCTATGATGAACAAAAAATGTCTCCAGATATTTCCAAATGTTCTCTGGGAGACTGAAGTGCCCCAAGTTGAGAATCACTGCTCTATCCAATAGAGGGGGGTAAAAAAGGTTCCTATTGAACTCTAGTTTGTGGCTGCCACCTCGGCATTTTGATCTCCTTGTGTCCAGGGTCCAGCAGGCAAGAAGAGGAGTCACCATTTTAACTTGGTCAATTGACCCTGACTATCAGGAGATGGGGCTACTATTGTACAATGGGAACAGGGAGGACTGATTGGAGGATCAAGTAGTTTCTAAGCAGAAGCAGCCGCTAGGTTGGATTACCATTCTGTCGGAGATCTGTCCAGTAAGGAGAAAAGCCCAAATAGATACACACACTTGGCTACTGACATAGAGAGCCTAAGCAAGATCAGCACAGTGTCAGCTCCCCACATCCCTAATCTCACAGGATGACACCTGAACCACAGGGGTCAGATAACAGATTGATAGAGCACTCTGTTGTGGAGGAACCAATTCTAGACTGCAGCTAAGAAGTGTTAGAGCCTTTATCTATATGCTAAGGAAGCCAAGGTAGATAGTCCGTGCCTCACCGGAACCAGGGAGGTAGATAAGAACCTGATCTGTGGCATCCTCCTGCAAGAGAGGGAAGCTTACGAGAAATAGCCTTGCGACAGCTCCTCAGAAGATTGCTATCTTGCCATGTTCCTGGGAGGATCACGGGGTGTTCTGCCAAGACTTAGGTCAAAACAATTGAGCCTTGCCTATGTGGCCTACACAGATATATGAAGGTTGCCAGGGTGCCATCGTTCACCCATTTCCCTACAGGTACGTGTGTGGAACCCAGGTGATCCACTTGAATATTTCTAGGTACTACCTTTCCCAGTTTTGACTATAAATGGACAGGTACAGCAACTTTGAACTGAGAAGGACGTGGTGAGGAGATTGAGGCCACTCAAGGACAAAGGTCTGGGTCACACCCCTAGGTAAGCCACTGAGACAACAGAGGTGGTAACTGGGGGTGAATGGAATTTAAAATGGACAGTAGAGGAAGGAGATTATGACTATCAGTCGTGAACCCAAGACCAACGTCTATAGTGTTGCCTGTGTTTCTAACACTGACCTCCCTCTTCTGAGTTTCCCCTCAGGAGGAAAGACCTTATAGAGCCCTGTAGAATCTGCCCCCCAAATATATAGAAAGAAACGTATCCCAGTGGCACAAGTAGTATATTGGGGTAGACAAAGACACATACTCCCTAGCTGCCTCTTCGAGGAAAAAGTTGCTGCTCAGCTCTGGGAAGGGCAGTCAGCAGACCCTAGGTAGCCGTCAGCGTTTTCAGGGCGTGCCTCAGCTGCAGTCTCTGTCCACGTCATACTCTTCCTGTAGCAGCCCACATCTAGTAACTGAGTGAACTTGACATGGGGCCATGCTGATTGGCAATATTCATTCCAAAGCCCTTTGCTGGGTCACCAAAGTCTTTGTTTGGGCTATATCACATTTCAGTTTCTCCACTGGCCCAATCCTACTTCATCCGCCTTTCGTGGGTGTTGATCCCTGACAAACACCTAACTCCATCTCAGCATCTGTTTCTGGAGAACCCAAACTGGAACACCAATGATGATGTTTAGATCCAGGTTTAGAGGAAACAATATATCTTGATATGTCAAAATATACTCTGTAGGGACATTTTTCTGGCATAAAGTTGTTCATAATATTTCCTTATAAGCTTTTTTTTTTTTTAAAGATTTCATTTATTTATTTGACAGAGAGAGACACAGCGAGAGAGGGAACACAAGCAGGGGGAGTGGGAGAGGGAGAAGCAGGCTCCCCGCAGAGCAGGGAGCCCGATGCGGGACTCGATCCCAGGACCCTGGGATCATGACCCGAGCCGAAGGCAGTTGCTTAACCAACTGAGCCACCCAGGCGCCCCTCCTTATAAGCTTTTTAATGTCTGTATGAATCTAGCGATGTACTGTTGCTCATTCCTTATATTGGTAATTTGTGTCTTTTCACTTTTTTTCCCCTAATGAGTCTGCCTGGAGGTTCATCAATTTCAATGATTTCCTTAAAGACCAGCTTTAGATTTCACTGATTTTCCTCTATTGTTTTACTGTTTTCTACCTCATTGATACATGCTCTGATTTTTAAAAATTATTTTGCATTTAATTAGCTCTTACATTTTTGGTTCTTAAAGTGAAAACTCAGGTCATTGAATTGGACCTTTCTTCTTTTCTAATGTAAGATTTAGTTCTATAAATTTCCCAATATGTTTAGATCTAAACAATACATTTAAAGATGTTTAAATTTTCCTCTAAGTAAGCTTATGCTTGAGCTACACTTCAATAATTCTGATATATTGTGCTTTTATTTTATTTTATTTTAAATATTTTATTTATTTATTTGACAGAGAGACAGAGAGAGTGCACAAATAGGCAGAGCGGCAGGCAGAGGGAGGGGAAGAAGCAGACTCCCCCTGAGCAGGGAGCCCGATGCAGGGCTTGATCCCAGGACCCGGGGATCATGACCTGAGCCGAAGGCAGCCGCTTAACCAACGGAGCCACTCAGGTGCCCCTATTGTGCTTTTATTTTAATTCCCTTCAAAACACTTTCTAATTTCCCATTTGATTTCTTCTTTAGCTCATGAAATATTTAGAAGTAATATTATTTAGTTTCCAAATATTTGGGGATTTACAGATATCTTTCTGTTATTGATTTCTAATTTAATTTTCCATTGACGTAAGACAACATACTTCATATCATCTAAATGATTTTAAATATATCAACTTGTTTTATAAGTCAGAATATTGTTTATCTCGGTAAATGATCACCTGAAATATGTATTCTGATGTTTGTGGGAATAGTGTTCTATAAATATCAATTAAGTCAAGTTGATTGATCATATTTTTTTAATTGATCATTCTTTTCAAGTCTTC